TTCAGCTTAACTTAACTGGGTTCATCACTGATTTGGGCTCTCCAGGCCGCTGACGAGCGATTGCTGATGGCACTGCTCGATAGAACTAGCTGAGAGACAGGAGAAACGAAGAAGATTTTCTACATTATCGCAGGAGAAAACACGTACTTCACAAGCAGAAGAATTTCCAGTAATTCCTAGGAATGACTTTCTATTGATATCGGTATTGGTCGAAAATTCAATAATTTTTAGAATTGTCGAACGAGGAGTCACAGTACACAGAATTCATCTGAGAAAAATCGAAGACAGACTAGCTTCCATTTTTGAAAGCTCAAACTAATTATTCGCAAATAGTTGGATCACAAACTGGTATCGAAAACCAAGTGTTGAAGACTGATGCATTACTTCTCCTTTTTCACTTCACACATAAAATGGTGCGCTTCTAAGTAATGCGTTTCCAATAGCCACCAAGGTATGCACAGGAAGACAGCAGAAACAGAATGAAGTTATGCGGTCGGTTTGAAAAAGGAAGGAACAGTACTTTAAATTGGTGCAGCAATTAATTAGCCATCTTCAATGGATGCCACCAAACTATATGTCTAGCAAGAATAACGTCCTGTTCGTTCCTTCCTTTATTTCCAACGAAGTAATCACGTCCATAAAACACTGCTTGAAAAAGGGACCAGTTTGGAAAAATCGGTAACAACGATTAAAATAATACCGAACACTCTACCACGCCAGCTAATTCATAACCGTTCCTAGGACTATCTATGCACAACTCAAAAATTCATAACTTGCCCTAACGGTAGAGGCGGTGATTGCATGAGTTTGGGTACGGCTTATCTGATTCTTTGTGAAGCGTGCGGGGACGAATAGTTTGGCGAAACGGATAAAAATAAACTTGAAGTTAAACAAAATGCCTTTCTAGGCGCGAATGGGACGAAGAAAAGTAAAGAAGAAGACTTCAAAGTATAAGTTACCATCATAAAATAGGAATTTAAAACGTCAAAGCGCAGTAGTCTCGAAGCATTTTATGTTAATTCCAAGGCTCCGAAGATGAACAGAAGAGGGGATTGTCCTGTGATCACATGTGATCTCGCACAATATCTCGGATACACCTCATATCTCATGCTCTGACTCAGCATATCTCAGGCTGACCTTTAAAGCTGCACTCCTGGCTACTCCAGAGGTGCATTACGCACCCATGTAAATTCTGTGTCATTTATCTCCATCACTGGTAAACATAAGTGGAAGACGCATAGAAAACAGAATGTCTTAGAAGGTTGCTTCGTATGCGATTCAAGTCTGATTCTTCGGTTCTTCTTTCGTTGAGATTATGAAAGTATCTGGAAGAGTCAATTATTGGATAGTTAACTTCACCTTTCAAAGCTCTGAAGAATATGCAATCCACCGAAGCGTCACCGATTGTGAATAAATAACAGGTTGCTCATGTCAAAATCTTGAGAGAAAATCTGCTTTCGTTAAAGTCTCTGCTAGTAATAATTATTAAAAATCTATTTATTTATTTATGTGAACCGCCTTCACGTAATGTGTAGGGTCCACCAACTAATTTATAGTAAGTTTTCTCGCACCTGTCATTAACGAAGACCATTGGATTTTTACGTAAAAGCTCGGGTATCACTTGAGTGTTTTGTTTCCTTCATGGATATCGTTGAATGCTTGTCAAATTGATTCTACCTAAAATTCTAAGATAGGTTCGCTAGAGTATCTCCAGGTGTTTATCACAGGAAATCGGTGGTCTTTCTGTACCGCAAGGAGCTCGCCCTGTGAAAAGCCGATCTCTAACCACTACGCTTGCAAGTAATGTTAATAGTTCAGAGAAAAGTGAAAATGATAGCAAACTATTATGATAACCACTTGCATCACTTATTCATCCCTTAACCATTAATTACCTCGAATGGGCGCTACCTCATTAGGCTTACAGTCCCAAGCGCTGGACTCAGGTCTTTTCCGCAGGGGAAGAGTAAAGGCGAGCTTTCAAGGGCTAGCTCGGTGGGCTTTGTCATGGCTTTGTCGCTTAGCCCTAATTGTTTCTCCGGTTTAGAAATACCGAACATCTTTCTAGCCTGGATAAAGTTGCTGGAAGAAGAGTATCTATCGCCTGCACAACGCAGTTCATCCACGCTGATACGGTAGACCACAGAGAAAAGAGAAAATAAAAAATGAACTGGAAACTAATAGTAACAGCAATAATAATAATAATAATAATAACAGTAATTCTTTACGACTTATACCTATGCCTAAATTCGAGTTCATGGTCACAATAATAATCAACCACAGAACAAAGACAAAGAGGAATGAAGCCACACTTTAAAGAGTAAAATGAGTTTTTAGAAACTTGGAGTTCATGGATACACGAGAACATTAACCATTTCAATAAGAGTGAAAATTTCGCCAAGCATGAATGAAATGACCTAAGACGTCATGGAAGACCTAAGTTGGAGCACTGAGACTGGGTTTTTTCAACATCGGCAGAATGAAATTGATAGCTGATGCTCAAAAATCTGTTCGTCTAATCTGACGAGACACAGATGTGCAATTTCGTCATTCGAGAGGAACGAAGCTCATCAACGGGAACACATTTCTGCTGATGGGACGTTTTTCTACCTTCATCATCGTCCATCGAATGTGACACGAAATGACGGCCTTCATTTGAAGGGATTCGGATAGCCATCTCGTCAGTGTCGTGTTCATTATATCACCACAGCGGCAGAATGCAATCATTCATAACAAATCACAATTCGTTCAGATGAACGAACTAATCTAATTTTCGCATGGCTTGAAGCAGAATGATTAATGCGGTTTCTAAAAACGCAATTACTAGTATACATCGGATTTTGGATTCTTTGAAATAGTTCAGATTTTAGATGAAGTGAGGTCTGCGAAGAGATATTCAACACAGTCAAACATTTTATTTTATTCTATATGACCCGTCTTCACGTCTACCGTGTGGAATCCAGCAATTCTCACATTCCATTCGTTTCATCGCATCCATTGTTCACGAAGATCATCCAACTTTATCGTGTGGCTTCGGTTGCTGCTTGAAGATTTCCATTTGATCTTGAATGTCGTAGAATGCCGCTCGGGCAAATCTCTTTAGAGTCCTGAGGTAGGCGGTCTAGAGCGTTCTCAATTGGAGTGACTGCAATTGCAGAGAGTGATTTTTTCCCAGACAAGTCGGGTAGCAATCTCCAGACCCCGGAGGGACGAGAGGCCTAGCGGGGTCGGAGCGGAGTCGAACTATCTCCATGCTCGTGATGACCGACATCACTACCACTGTTCTATCCGGCCATGTCGAACATTTTAAACTCGGTAATATCCACCATGTGATAATATGGAGAACGAGCCAGATCATCATCCATTATTTGGGAACAGTGGACGATATTAGCACTCGTAGAGCTGGTTAATGACGTCTGCTGAACCGCTTACAAACTAAACTCCCGTTTGTGAATCGGAAGCGTTTCATCGTGAAATCGATGAAACATCGGGAACAAAATGTGATATTTCAAATAGGAGGACATAATATACATTAATAATCACTTGGATAGTTGGATGGTAGATCAGTGTTACCTAGCTATTCAAGAAAAAACTTCTGCTAGCAATGTCTCAGTTCGTCCCGAGCCCATTTTGATGCTGCCTAGTGGGTTCAGTTTATTCATCTACTAAAAAAAACAGAGGCGCTATCAATGATACTAGAAAGCCGATTTCGTCTGTAGACAATTTTTCATCTCCGTTCGACCATTCTGTGCCTCAGATGGTTGTTCCTTGAAGATAAAACCCAAATTGCATACAACTGAAGCACAATTTAACCACTTCATTTGGTTTTGGCTGATCGGTATTGATATCCACCATCTCCATTAATCGAGGGTGATCGACACCGATGGATGCAACCACTATTGATTTAACCTCCAAAAATAAACAAATGAAAGATACGCTGGCTTAGTAGTAACATTTGTCCTGCAGTGAAGTGTCATTTCCTTCGTTAATCGTCCGACACTAAACAAATAATGAACGCATGAGACGAGAGGAGCTGAATAAACCGAATGACACAAACGAATGCCGGATTGTTGAGCATCGCCACTGTATTGAAACTGAGGGACATCCGTACATCTTGATGCTGTCTCCTCCACCCTCATTATTCTTATTTCAATCTTTCGATCATTCTTTATTTCTATTTGTCAATCTTTGCCTCTCAACTTAAAAGTTCTTGATACAACAGATTTTTATTCCAGATATTCCTAGCATATGGTACCTAAAAAAGTGAAAAACATTCATTATGCCCTGATTCTACAAATACATAATCTATACATAATACTCAACCCTTAAAACCAATCACTTAATAGTATAACACAGTCAAATAGACCACGTTTTACGAAACAACTAAGAAAATATGAAAGTAGAAGGTTAAATAATAGATAGAAACGACAGGTGTGAGAATCGAAGACTTCACAGAAACATTTCACAATCGCCCAAGCACCTAATTTGACTTGGCACCTCCTGATGGGTGGCTACCTTTTAATAGGCAAAGAATAATTACAACAACAATACCTCATTGTGTTCATGAGTTCATCCGATATTGGTATTCTTGAAAAAAAATCTTTATTATCACTAAGCTTTTCCACAATCGCCTTCTTAAGTGCCGAAACGACTCGGACTGAGAGTTCACAGCAGTTTGTTTTGCGATGTCGGTCTTCGTAATCTCATCGATGCTAATTCAGTGGAGTAACACCACATGAATAAACTATGCGAGAATACTCAAATTCGAAAAAGCAACTGCTGTGGACAATCGAATCGAATCACTGCAATTCGGAAGAAGGCAAAGGCACCGAAACGTTAGCCACAATAAAGTGTTTTTTTTTAAGAAGAACTCCGTGTAAACTCATGAATACAGCGAAATGTTGTTTGTTAATGCTGAGATTGAATGAAAGTCGACTTTTAAAGTTAACCACTCCAGCAAAACGAGGGAAAACTATTGAAAAAATGTACACTGTACGAATACACTAGACAATCACAGCGTCATCGCGAGTATCTTTAGAATTTGTTTCGAGTAATGTTAACATGTTTACAGCTTCTTCTAAGGATAATCGTTGGCTTGGCTCGACAACAAGCAGACGACGCATCACGTCGATCAAATGTTTATCAAATCTGCAATGAAGTGAAAATCATCAGATGAACCTGAGAGTTGCAACATCGTTGGAATAGAAAAGAAACATAGAATTGAAGAAGACTTCTCAAAAGTACGTCACTAAAAAGCAAAGTAGGCAGTTAAATTAATATCTGAGAAGTAATAACCAAGAAAGCGGGCAGCACAGCGGTGATGATGCAGTTCATCATAAGCAACGTTCGACTCCGCGCTGGCTCACCAAGTTTTTCATTCCTTCGGGGTCGAGAAATTGGTACTTGGTCCAACTCCTTAAAAACCACACCAGCACACTCTAATAAATCTACCCCAAGAGTCGAGGAAGAGTGGACTCGACCAGCATTCGACGACATTCATAAAGAAGACAACAATCGTCAAGCAGCAACTGAATTCATACTTGAAAAGTTCAAAGACCTTCGTGGATGACAGATGCGAGGAAACGAATGGGATGTAGGAAGTTCTTGAATAGCCAGCGTTGATGTGAAGATGAGTCAAGTAAAATAAGAAAAAATAACCAAACCAAAACCACAGTATGAAATTCATATAACTTTTTGTAGACAACGATTTCTTTCAAAACAGAAATAGCTCAGTTGAGTTTACCAAAACACTTAAAATACCAATCTTAACCCTTTTATTTACTACATTTGTCTTTTTAATGGCAAGGTATGTTTTAATAGAACTAGCTGAGAGACAGGCAAAACGAAGGACCCTGATGGTGTGGTGGTGAAGTGCGCTACTCCTCGGTAAGGACAATAACGCGCGTTCGTTCCTCACCGCATACACCTGCGGTTCGGAGTTTTGCAAATATCTCAGCATTATATGCTAAAAATGCCATCATTTATCAGAAAACAGTTGTTATTAAGTCACCACTACCTTAGCAAACTGGAACCATGGTCACCGAACCTAAGATAAAATACCCAATTCTCTGCCTCGCATAAGAAATGGGAATAATAAGTTTGAAGCTGTCAAACGTAACTTATGGTAAAAACTGTACCGTAGACAAAACTCACAGCTTCACATCGGGGTACTGGATCTTCCCCGGACTTTGCACGGCCAACGCGACACTGTCACCTTTTTCATAGACAAGATCAAATGGTGAGACAAAATAACACAAAGCATAGAGACAGCAACCAAGTGACTGAAAGTGTGGAAGCGAATAATGAGAATAAGCCTAACGAAAAACGAAACAAATATACGAAAAATTTCTGTATTTAAAAACTTTTGAAATATCTCTGCTAAAGTTTTCTTTCAAATTTTTGTTGTTGTCCGAAATACTTCTCTTCTTGAAGCTACACCTATTTATCCACGTATTTAAGCCCACCATTTATTCTCAGAACAGAGAAATGTGCTCTCATCTAGGCTAACAACCGTCATCACTGCAAAGCAGTAAGACGTTGCAACATTCGCAATAAATTTGCGACAATACAAATCACCTGCTCAATTACTGTAAGAGAAAAAAGAAAAGAAACGAGAGAAAATGAAAGGAAGGCAACAAAGACCAAGTTCCCAAGTTCTTCTTTTTGAATATCTAAACATTCGAGAAAGAATCAACACCTTAGTTAAGCAATCAGAATTTATTTGTGATACTCGTGCAGACAGGTTTGATTCGGTGCTTTTCATAAAAATATAGTCAAAAACAAATGTGGCACAGTGGTTAAAGGTACTTCACAGTGCATATGTAGCCCATGACTTGCTTCCCTCGCTTCCCAACCTAACCAAACCCCCGAGCTCTCCGGCATAGGCAAATTGGTACACAATCTATCAGGAGAATAACAAACATGGTAGTGATAATAACCATTGGCTTTAAGAAGCCACGGTATTGGCCAGATGTGCATCACCTTGGCGACGATTGTTGAAGACAATCAATGCCGAAACATTAACCTTTTATTTTTCACAATCAAAAGTGTTTTGCTTAACGAATTCTATTTCTACCTACCCAAATATCGGCAGCTTCTGTAATCACGGAACCGATTTGACAGTCAAACAATTCCGGTGCACGGTACGGCATCGAACACATCTCGGCAGCTTCATCAACCATATATTGCTGCTCGCGTGCAGAATCAATTGTAATAGGAACTCTAAAAACCACTTTAGTGACAAGCATCGGGATTTACTGAAATTTGTTAAAATTTGGGAACGTTACTTGAAAGAAGAGAGGTGAAAAAAATTGCCTTAAATAACAAAAAAAAGCATAACGCTATAGATAATTCAACGTGGAAATTTCACGGAATCACCGAAGCACCAGTGATATTCGCGCTCGTAGAAAACTCGAGTCTGAACTTCTTACGATTATCCAAATGCAAGTAGTTCTCAACAACTATGCAATTTCATCTACACACATTTCAATACCATAAAATGTGTTACTTATAAAGATGCCCATAAGTGAATTGATTCGCACAGCTAGAGTTCACCTCGTTGCTGAGCCGAAATCGGTAAGAAGTGGTGTTCCGTCATCGGTTAGCAGAAAATTCGCCACCTAAAAGCAAGATTTAAGCTGAACAACAAGAATAAAGTCTAGCAACATGCAGCAACAACAACAGCAACAAGCACAGCAAAAGAATAAAGTCGCGAAAGATGTCTGGATTTCCATTATCACTGCAGTTATAAGACTTCCTAACACCTCTGAATTTATTTCTAACCCAACTACTACCTAAGAACGAGGAAAGGAGAGGCGGAGTACACTGGTTTTAACTCGCAATAGATAGAAGATAAGGCCTTTGCGGTAGCTTGCCGATGTATCAAATCAGTATTGCTATTCTCCAAAATACTCCGAGGCACTGGATCGAAGCAGGCATCACGTGTGTGTTGCATATAATCTCTAACCACTGGCCTACATACACTACTTTGAACTCACGGCAAAAAATATTTGTGGTTACCAGTATCAAAAGTAGCTTAGCAAAAAACCGATTTCACCAAGTGAAAGGAAAACCATGAATGGTAGAACTTTGCCAGTAAAAAATATAATAGTTCTCATTATTAGAAATGAACTCTGACATCCTAGACCCTGTTAGGTGTATTTCTTCGCTCCGTCTTTTTTCCCCGGGGTTCATATTCTGAAGATCAAAGAAACATAACCATAAGACAACGGAAAAAAGAAACAAAAACATAGATAAAAAGCAGAAAACAAATCCATACCTTCAAATCTCTGTGCACATAACCGAGTCGATGTAGAACACGAACGGCTGCGCATATTCCAACGAAAATTCGTATCACCGAAAAATAAATGCCAGATTTTTCAAAATAGATAGTAAAAAAAATCAGATGAATAGTTTATAAAATAAACGATGATCTATCCTTTTTAACACTTTCGTGACAAACAAATATCTAATGGGATCGAAAATTTCAAAGTACTATAGTTCTTTCGGAACCACCAACTTACTTTACGAGTAGAACCGTCAGAAGCCGCATAACCCATAACTGCCAAGGGAGCACTTACCGTAGCCTGACTGAAATAGTCGCTTTTGGAGCGCCTTCGCAAAAGTTCGTCTCCTACGGAACCTTTTCGGTAGAATGGAAACACCAAATAGCTCACATCATTGGTGTCTATCGTTGCCAATAATGGCACAACATTCCGAATATTGGACAGTTGGCGAAGAATCGAAGCCTAAACTTTACTTTTCGAGAATGTCCATGTTCCATGTGGAAATGCACTGATGCCTTCAGTAAGGATGTCGACTTCACAATGAAGTCGGCCAGTATAGAATTTTGTATTTAACGTTTTGTTATATTTTAATAATATTACTGCTAAGTTGTTCATTTTAGAATTAGTAATTTTAGAAATGTTCGATGAGTGTTTCAAAAACTAACTTTCGTTTGCCTCCCTCCTCCCACAAATTCTACTATATAGGTCAAGAATAAAAGGATAAAAAACGATAAAAGCTCTCAGCGACAATAAATCCCCAGGGGATGTGTCATGCATTCAACTTCACTAAGCATCATTAGAGGCAACTGAATGCAAAACTGAAGTATAGAATTACTCGCGGTGGCCTACCAACGTATCGAGTCAGTGTTGCTATCGTCCCAGACAAATCTAGTATCAATTTACCAACCGTGGAACGATGGAAGGTTTGATGAGTCAGGAGCGCGAGGGTCGATCCCATGTGCATGGCAGAGCGTCTCTAACCACTGCGCTAGACCCGTTATTGGGGTTATCAAATGTTATCTGTATGACCTGTAGACCCGCTGATCGTCGAGTGAAGCGAGCACCAGTAAATCTTTCATTTTTCCTTGTCGCATGCAAGAGTAGCCTAGTGGGTGCCGCTCGCTCTAGGGACTCGTCGAGCATCACATCTTTCTTCTAGGCTCTACGTGAAAAACTCTGACTATCGGGTCGGTGGTCTTCCTCCAGTATGTTTAACATCCCGAGGAATCCAGTCACTAACGGCTCTTGTTCATCGGTTGCTATTCATACGCATTACGCGTTCGGCCCAACTTATCTTCGACTGTTTGCCGTACAGAACGAGATCACTGATTTTTGATCGTTGACGCAAGAAGTACCGTTAGGTCGAAAAGGTGGGTACGGAGTCGGGAGTTCTTTGTTCTCTTCACTACATCCTCGATGCTTTTGAAATCTCCCCAAGCCGCTCGTTTTCTTCCGCTCAGCTCTGTAGCTAAGTGGTTCATCATATTGATTTCCCGACAAAGATAGTCATAACTGAAGATATTCGTTCCGTTGAGCATGAATGGGGCATACGAAATTAATCTGCTCCTAACATCGTCTTTGTGAGATTTAGTCGAAAACCAATCCTTCCACAGGCTTTGTCAAAGTCGGTAATCATACGTTCCACGGTAGCGTATCAGCTCTAGTATTTCATGAGATAGACGACTCTTAGTGACTTTCGGACTCTAATCTTTCATAGTGCTAACGTGAAGATGTTGAATGCGCCAATCGTGTTCTTCGCAGATGTTAACAACAACAGAATCTTCCTAACAGCCGACTAATGAATTGAATAAGTCCCAGTTTACGGTCGCTCTGAGACTTCGGTTTTCGAATTTAGCAGCTTTTTCTCCTTTCCGCGAGAAATAGAATCTTGCACGAAAGAGACGGTGGTCTGATCCCGTGTAGAATTTTGGAACAACAGCGATATTGGTTAGACAAAACCCTCTATTTACTATGATGTGGTCTATTTCGTTATGGTACTCTCCATTGGAGACTCCAACGTCCAACGCTGAGGGTGGGGCTTATGGAATTTCGAGTTACCATGGATTGTCTTGATCGCCATGATAAACTCAGACAGCTGCTCACCCTGTTCGTTCCATTTTAATCCATAGGTCACAATGTGACGTTCTTCAGACGTTTTTCTTGGTGAAATCTTGGCGTTGAAATCTTCAATGATGAACTTGAGGAATGTGTAATCTTCTCTGTAGAACTTCTCCAAGTCCATATAGAAAGCCGCCTCGACTTATTCTTCGTCATAGTTTGATGTCGGCGCGCAAACAACGAAGATTGTCAAAGCCGGAATTTATCCGCATCTTTTTCATCGTGAAAGTCCGATTCGGATTGTAAGTTATTCGAATGAATCAATGTTCATGGACAAACTCGTGGTACTCGTACTCATCCTACCCAACACTGCGAAATCGGAGACTCTTTCGAGTCAGGGAAATGTTTTTTTTTTACTGTGTTTAGCATTTTTGATACCCACGTATAGGTTGCTGGGCTCTAAACGTGGGAGCTGGGTATACTCATGGGTAGCTTGCCAGGCTCTCCCAGAGTGGACATAGAGCTTATTTGTTGGAGGCGACTCCTAACCGCCTCCTATATATTTATCTGTCTCTTGTTTGCAGACTTTTGGCTGATTCGACTCGTAGAATACAATCCGTATAAACTAGGACGCACCCATAGACGCTTGAATGAATGCGCCATAGATTCGACTTCATCAATAATAGTGAGGCGGTTTGCTGCATATTTCGTCTATACAGTGACTCGCGGCTGCCAGCCAATGTACTAGGTCAGTGCTACTACCTTCTCAAACAAGTTTAGTACGAATATCTCGAAGCAGGAGGAATGTATGTCTTGGTAAGCCCGGAATGCGGGATCGAAACAGAAGCCGATGCAGTGTGCATTTCAATCACAACGAACCACTGCGCTACACGCATCCCTATACATATGTATGAAAGCGTCAAAGTTTAAAGACACCAAATTAAATAAAATTGTTACCCTGATTCCTAGCATACTTATGTCCTACAAAAAAGACATCGTTAACAAGAAAATCGTCAAAAAGCTGCTAACTATACTTCTGGAACACAATTAGCAGAACGAACCATACAAATTGGTAAGGAGGAGTTGCAAAAACAGCCGATCGTCGGCGAAGTGTAAAGCTTTTTTTTTATTGACGCCCAAATTTTCAATTGTGTTTGTTAAGTTATGGACAACTTGAAAAACTTCTAAAGCAGACCTTGCCATTTCGACAAAGGAAATACATAAATATATATATATATATATATATAAACATATATACACCACGGACCTCCCTCATATGAGGGATCTCGAGCCGGCTAGTCGCGAGGCTACATGGCGCGTCACCAGGTGGCGGATAGCGGGTTAATCGCGGACCAAAAGCGACCTTTGCTTCCCTGAAACGCAAGTGGATCCAGGGGATGGACTCTCTGTTTCTGCTGCGCCGATTTGGCACGTACTTTCTGTATTTACAAGGCGTATTCATGCATGCGTGTCTAGGTGCGTTCTTGCTTATGCGGATCTTATCCTACGAGTCAATTCGGTCAATAGCCCACAATCAAGTGACAGGGAACTATATGGGAGGCGATATATTTATTTATGAGATCTTATAAACTGATCTTCTTAAGCTGACGCGAGGTTGGTACAGATCTTCGTTGTCGTTGTC